TGGTGGTCTGTAGAGAGAAAAAGGTGGAGTTACGCCGCCCGTCTCATTTGAAAAAAAGCCGTTTATTGTTGTTAACGTCGTCGTTGTTACCGTTAGTCCCCCCATCATATGTCATGTCACGAGACCGCCGTGAGGATGCAGGGTGGGGGTGATGGTGATGGTGGGGGTGGAGGTGGGTGGGTGTGGGTGATGGAGGTGGTCTGGTAATGCGTGGATGTGATGGTCTCGTTATGAAAACGGAAGATAGCCGTCACGAAAACCAAAAAAATAATAATATTGGATTACGTGTTATTTGTGTTGGAGGCTGGTTCCGGTGTGTGGTTCCGGTCGCCTCCATCAGGACCGAACCTGATAGGTCCGGTGGCATGTTTAATGCAGAGGCCCGTGTCGTCTTTCCCCCCTGCGTGGGGAAAACTTAACGTGTCATGGAAGACTGTGTGTGTGTGTGTGTGTGTGTGTGTGTGTTGATGAGCAAGGCTCTCTCACACATTGTAGGCCCCTATGAGGTGTGTGTGTGTGTGTGGATCCCGAGACATGTTTTATCTTAATATGCCCATAAAGCCTCCTTGAGATGGTGCCCCCTGCTGACCCTAGGGGGTCCAGGCAGGGAGGCATGGCCGCCCCCTGGCCCCGGATCAGCGCATCATCATGTGAGCAAAGTAAAGGCTGGCTCTGTACTCTGAGTTTCCAGTTTGGATGGGGGTGAAGCAGCAGACAGTAGTGACAGGAGTACTGCCTACCCCCATACTAAAGAGTCTGTGTGTTTGTAACCTTCACCTGATTGCATGCCAGGCGGTGGAGGAAAACCACGAGCGTTACATTATATGTGACATTGACATTACACGTTTGTCCTCGGTGTGGTTCTGGGGGGCAGTTGGGGTTTGATCCCGTGCGTCCGAAAGCCTACCTGTCTGTCATCCTTGGGGCCGGATGATGAGCCCCCCCCCCTTACCTGCCCCCTTAATGACAAGTCGCTGCAGGTTTCTTTGGGTCGAAGTGTCTCACTATATAGTTCTGTATTGAAACAGGGGCACACATGTAGCGCCACCGCCGCCAGCCAAACACTGGTAAAATACGTGAAGTAAGTCGCCGGTGGATTTGCTCGACTCGCCAGCCAAAGAAACCACAACGGTAATCTGTTGAGCGAGGGTAACGTTTGGGCATTTTGAACCCTGTTTGAAATATTTCTGTTTCTGTCGTTTTCCGCCAGCCGCCATCCGGTCAAAATGATCCACAGCCTGTTCCTGGTGAACGCCTCCGGGGACATCTTCCTGGAGAAGCACTGGAAGAGCGTGGTGAGCCGCTCCGTGTGCGACTACTTCTTCGAGGCCCAGGAGCGCGCCACCGAGCCGGAGAACGTCCCGCCGGTCATCCCCACGCCGCACCACTACCTCATCAGCGTCCTCCGCCACCGGATCTACTTCGTGGCCGTCATCCAGAGCGAGGTCCCGCCGCTGTTCGTCATCGAGTTCCTTCACAGGGTGGTGGACACCTTCCAGGTAGCGGCGCCGGTCCTGAGTTGGGTGTTGGGCCTCGAATGTTCCCTCCTCTCTTCGTTGTCACAAAGCCGGCCATCTTGGGGCTTTTTTTTAATTCGATTTTAGGGCTGAACAATTAATCGAAATATTATCGAAATCCCGATATGGCCATGTGCAAAAATCCAAATTGCAGGAGCTGCAATTCTTTGATAAGGGTAAAATGTGTAAATGTATAACACCATTATAAATGAAGTGCTGTAGTGCTGCAGAGCGATGCCCTGGCCGACACATTTTTATTCTCCAGATGTAAGAAAACATGTTCGTTTGGTACAGACCCCAATGATGTCCCATCATGATTTGAATAGATTTTTTCAGTGAAAGTGAAAATTGTGATGCACAAATGATCTTTTTCCATTAATAGTGAATCATTTTACAATATATGTCAAAATAATCGCAATAAGATTGGGCCTCATTCACCAATATCTTCTTAAGAATCTTCTTAGATTCTTTCTTAAGTCCTTCTTAAGAAGATTTCTAAGAAGACCCTTACGTCAGATTCATCAACGTGTTCTTAAGCCGCTGAATTGTTCGCAGCTGTGCTCTTAGATTGATGAATGCCGTCTCCTCGTAAACTGAGCAGCGTGTGCAGGTGAGTCTAATTAACATAGGATTAGCATAGGTAACCGCCCATTAATGCCCATAAAAGGGACTGCAGGGCCGTGTGCAGGGCCTCTGAAAAAAGATCTACGTGGTCCTGAAAGATTCGTTCCCTCCGTAGGGCAGATCCCCAATCTCCTGTAGCAGCAATATACTGTATGGAGATGGAGAAATGCCACCTATAAATAGGGTGGGATCACTAATTGACGGCATGGTTTCCAATGTACTTGATTCATGTTAAAGCGTTGGCACATTTAATGTAATTAAAATGAACAATGAAAAAAAATGAAATTAATAAATAAATACATAAATATGACAGAAATTTCTCTGTAATGTATTTTATTGAACTTAACAAAAGAAGACAACACAACCATGCCAACATATCGGCACTGAAATGTGCTTAAGAGTACTCCTGAGTGTTCGTAGGATTTATTCTTACCTAAGAAAAATCCTGGATAAGAAAAAAATTCATGAATGCCACAATCTTCGTAAAATCTTCGTAAGTAGGACTTAAGAACAAATTTGTTCTTAAGAACGGTTCGTGAATGAGGCCCATTGTTTTTCCATATCGTTCAGCCCTATTCGATTCGATGGATTTCAGTATTGTATCATTTAACATTCAACCTATGTTTCTGACCATCGAATACGGAAACCTTTCCACTGATGTCATCACCAGGACTATTTTGGCGTGTGCACGGAGGCCGCCATCAAAGACAACGTGGTGGTGGTGTACGAGCTGCTGGAGGAGATGCTGGACAACGGCTTCCCCCTCGCCACCGAGTCCAACATCCTCAAGGAACTCATCAAGCCCCCCACCATCCTCCGCACCATGGTCAACACCATCACAGGTAACCCCCCCCCCCCCCCTCCCACCTCCCATATATGATCAACACCATCACAGGTAACCCCCCCCCCTCCCACCTCCCATATATGATCAACACCATCACAGGTAACCCCCCCCCCCCCCCCTCCCACCTCCCATATATGATCAACACCATCACAGGTAACCCCCTCCCACCTCCCATATATGATCAACACCATCACAGGTTACCCCCCCCCCTCCCACCTCCCATATATGATCAACACCATCACAGGTACTGCCCCCCCAGTACGACCAGTACAACCAAAACAAATAAAAATTGCCCATGCAAAGACTTGTTTCATGTCCTCCGCCGTCCTGTTCCACAGGCAGCACCAACGTGGGGGAGCAGCTCCCGACGGGACAGCTATCGGTGGTGCCGTGGCGGCGGACGGGTGTGAAATACACCAACAACGAGGCCTACTTCGACGTGGTGGAGGAGATCGACGCCATCATCGACAAATCGGGTATTTCTTAATCTGTAAATCTCCGCAGCCTCTGTACGACCAGAGAATACGCCGTGATTTTTTGTCACCTCGACGATTTAGTCCTGGGTTCGTGTTTGTCGCGAGTTCTCCATTGAGAGCCATCATATTTTAAATCAACATACGTCTCCCACACACGTGTACACATGCACGCACGCGTACACACACACACACGCACACACACACACACATACACACACGCATGCATGCACGCACGCAAACATACACACGTATAGCACAGGTGTGATGTCACCTGCTGTTTCTTAACACATGCACGCCTCAGAATTTGTAGTATCAGGTGACTATGAGATAGAAAGTATAATATAACTGCCATAGTTTATCACCAGGACCAGTGTATAGTGCAAAACAACCAATGTTAGTTTTTTAGTTGCAGCAATCTCATGGCATCATCGTCTCCCCTCGTTTCGCTGTCACCTTGCAGGCTCGACCATCACAGCGGAGATCCAGGGAGTGATCGACGCGTGTGTCAAACTCACAGGCATGCCTGACCTCACCCTCTCCTTTATGGTGCGTCTCTAACTTGTGTTTGGGGACAGTTCAAGCCTTCCTTAGGTCAGCAGGTGTATTCCCATCCTACCCTCCACTTCCCCTTAACGTTTTGCGTGTACCTTACCCAGAATCCCCGGCTGCTGGATGACGTGAGCTTCCACCCGTGCGTGCGGTTCAAGCGCTGGGAGGCGGAGAGGATCCTCTCCTTCATCCCTCCGGATGGAAACTTCCGGCTCCTCTCCTACCACGTCAGCTCCCAGAAGTCAGTCTCTCTCCCTCTCATATCACTTATGCTCTCTCTCTTCCTCTAATAATTCTCCCTTTCTGTGTTATGATTTTGCCCTTCTCGATGCGTTACTCCTGCTCTCTCTCAATCTTTCTCTCCGTCCGTTTCTCTCTATATCCCTCACTCTCTCTCTTATTCTCTCTCCCTCTTTCGCACTTGCATCCCTCACTTTCTTTCTGCCTCTCTTACTCCCCCCTCTCTCTCTTTCTCCATCTCTCTTCCTTACTCTCTCTACCTCCACCCCTCTCTCCTCCTCCGTCCCTTTCTGCCCGTTTAACTTGCACAGCTTGTCTCCATGGTAACAGTTACAGTAGAGCATCATTAAATCTAACTGTCCTCCTCTCCTCCTCATTGTCTTTACATAGTGTCCATCCAGTAGGCTATCGAAGGTACTGGTTTCTATCGGTGTTGTAGATGGAGCTTTGTTTTAGCTTAGTGTGTACCTGTGTTGTTCACTAGGAGATGACATAGAAATACAAAGACATGAGTTCAGTGGTTAACTGTGTGTCAATGCATAGTTCCCGATCCAGTTTGTATTAATCTTGTATTTTGTCTAATTAATGTTAGTCCCTTCAAAAGCAGCCAGTATTAATGATCATTAATTGGCAATATTGTACTGCAGAGGCAGAATTAAGACTAATTCAGAACACCACCCTCCCACAGTCGGCGGTGTTGTCAGGGCAGGCAAAGCTGCGCTCTCTCAGCAGTCTTACTGTTGGTTAAAAGGGCTGGCGCAGCTGGCACCGAGCACGGCATTAACACTGCCAGGGTTAGTGGTTTGATTCCCACTGGGGCCGCCCATGCTAAGAATTTATGTTCTCACAAAATTGTAAAAGGCTTTGGATAAAAGCTCTGTGTGTGTGTGTGTGTGTGTGTGTGTGTGTGTGTGTGTGTGTGTGTGTGTGTGTGTGTGTGTGTGTGTGTGTGTGTGTGTGTGTGTGTGTGTGTGTGTGTGTGTGTGTGTGTGTGTGTGTGTGGTTGATTGTTAGAAGGCGGTTATTTAGTGCCGTGGTGGGGAAGATTCTTTAAGGGCCTTGCGGAGAGTTTACCCAGAGACTCTTGCTTCACCTCGGTGTCCAACCATCTCTCCCTGGGTGTCCATGTGTTGCAGTCTGGTGGCCATCCCAGTGTACGTGAAACACAACATAACCTTCCGGGAGGGCAGCTCCCAGGGCCGCTTCGACCTGACGCTGGGGCCCAAGCAGACCATGGGGAAGGGGGTGGAGGCCGTGCTGGTCAGCAGCCAGCTGCCCCGCGGGGTCCTCAACGCCAACCTCAGCGCCTCCCAGGGAACCTACACCTTCGACCCTGTCACCAAGGTAACGTACACCTTGACCCCCTCCCCCACTGTTACCATGGTAATGTACACCTTGACACCCCCCCACCCCTGTTACCATGGTAATGCACACCTTCCACCCCATCACCAAGGTAACTGGGTTGGACGTAATTATGTGTGTTTGTGTGATTGTGCCTATGAGGTACAAACATGAAAGACGTCCAACTAAAAAAAATGTACCTGTATGTGATGGGATAAGATAACATAATACATTCTATGCCAAGATGTTTACCATTGTTCTATATAGAAATCTAATTTAAGAAGTAAATTTGTCTATTCAAAACTCAACCATGGACACCCACCTTGGAACTGTAATAATGTTTGTAATATGATGCGAGTGCAAAATTGGAAGAATGCAACTCTTCATGCGTGTCTCTGCCGTCCAGATGTTGACGTGGGACGTCGGGAAGATCAACCCCCAGAAGCTGCCTAGTCTCAAGGGGACCATGAGCCTGCAGGCTGGGGCCTCCAAACCAGACGAGAACCCCAGCATCAACATCCAGTTCAAGATCCAGCAGATGGCGATCTCAGGTACACACACGCACCCACGCGCACGCACACATGCACCCACACACACACACACACACACACTGCCATGGCGTTTAGTACTATAATATAGTACTAATAAAGTACTACATTTGTAATAGTCGTAATAATAATAATAATATATATATACTAATACTATAGTATTGGTACTTTTTCTTCTAAGTGCCACTAGATGTCGCCAGATTCATCAAATAACGGCACCTTGGAAACACAAGATCAAAATGGCACCTCTGTAAAAAAAATAAAAATGTTTTCATGAAGTATTATTTTTTTTTAGTAATACTTTTTAATAATTAACATTTCATAATAATTAAATCTGTTTAATATTTCAGATAACCAACATAATGTATAAATATATTCTATTGATTCATGTATTCATTTATCTTTTCAGGGCTGAAGGTGAATCGGTTGGACATGTACGGCGAGAAGTACAAACCTTTCAAGGGCATCAAGTATATGACCAAGGCCGGAAAGTTCCAGGTCCGGACATAGAGGCCTCGGTGCTCTTGGTCACCACTGGACCGAACCACTACAAAGACGCAGAAGGGGGGTGTATCAAGACGGTTTATCAAGACGGTGTATCAACATTTCAGGGTTTACCCTCAATAACTAAGATGGTGGGGGGGGGGGGGGGGTGTAACTTCTAGCAGTTAGCTGTTAGCAAACCTTGAAATTAGATTGGGGACACGGCAGGTCATGTAGCTTTTTGTTCATCCTCTATTAAGTCCAAATCCTCTAAAATAACGAAGTCAATAGAGCCCATTCTGTTTCCCACACACATCACACACACACGCGTGTTCTTCCACAGAACAAGTAGGGCCACACGGCGTCCGTTGTGACCTTTTACTCTTTACCAGAGCGAGAGACAGGCGGGAGACAAGAGGTGTTGCCGGTTACCATTACTTCTTCCTCATTCCTTCTCTCTCTCGCGCCCTGGTTTCAAAGCTCTTAAGTGCGGTTTACATTCCTTGCTGTTGCATTCCCACTTCCTCCTCCTCCTCCTCCTCCTCCTCCTCCTCCATTTTCTCCGGCTGCGTTGACAGCTCTGTTTGCCGTTTTGTAGTTCTGCTTGCAGGACTCGTCTAACCAGATGTGACACCGGTGCCGTCCTGGCCAACGGCGGTGCGCAGCGCAGCCTGCAGGGAGTGCTCACGGTCTCCATCCGCCCGAGGGAATCAGCCTAGCCTAGAGTTTCAGGGTTTCATCCGTCGTATTGATTATTTATAAGGTCTCCATTATGTGTCCCGGTATTTTTTGTTTTTTTTCCCCTTTTGTTCATTTTCCATCTTTAATTTAAAATATGTATACGTCTGTTATATGTGATGCGATGTCAAAGTATATTTTGTTATCTTTGAGGTGGACCATGCACTCCCTGTGAAGCGGTCGTTACACTGGACAGTGGGCGCCGTTACCTCTTTGATCCCACTGGATCAGAGGAATAAAGGAGTCCTTCGACTACTGACTGTATCACTTTTTGCCCCCCCCCCCCCCAAATAGCTTGTTTTATCTCTAGCCTGTGAAACATGGGCGTTCGCTTGGTGTGTGTGTGTGTGTGTGTGTGTGTGTGTGTGTGTGTGTGTGTGTGTGTGTGTGTGTGTGTGTGTGTGTGTGTGTGTGTGTGTGTGTGTGTGTGTGTGTGTGTGTGTGTGTGTGTGTGTGTGTGTGTGTGAGAACCCTTTTGAGTGTGTCTCAGGCCGTGTGTTTATATGCACAGGTGTAATTGCTGGCATGACTTATATGCTGGATCCGAAATACAAATATATCGCTTGGAAACCCGGACTAAACATCACAAACTGTAACGCCGAAAAATGTCATTTTAGAAAACACACTTGTTGGTACCTACAGAGAATGTTTTACAGTTTGTATTTTGTGTTCACAGTATTTTGTGTGTGTGTGTGTGCGTGTGTGTGTGTGCGTGTGCTCGTCAGAAAAGCCTCCCAAAAGGACTTTTACAATATTACAAAAAAATAAAAATAAAAATGAAATATTTTACGTGAGTGCTGCATTGATTTAATACCCCCAGTATTTAGGACAACACAATAAACCGCGTGATGCGCACGCACCTCTCTCTCTCTCTCTCTCTCTCTCTCTCTCTCTCCACTTCGATACGAGGTGACGTCACCTCGGATCGATCAGCCTGAACTCCACTCCGCGATTTGCGAGCCTCTCCTCACCTCTTTAACCCTGCTAGTAGGAGTCACTCTCGTTCTCCACCCCCCTCTCAACCCCCCCCCCATCCCATCCTCCCCTCCTCTTTTTTTTTTTTTAAAATAACCTCTTTAAGCACCACACACCATAGGCAACAGTTGGTCGAGGTGGGCTAAGGGACGGAGACCTCTTTTAAACTTCATTACGGCGCAGATATTGTTTGTTTTTTTTCTCCCCCACCCACCCTCACCCCTCACCCCCCCCCCCCTACCTCATCTCGGGGTCTCCGGAAGTTTTTTTTTATGACAGAAGAAAGTTATTAATATTTGCCATTCAGCAAGGTCGTTTTCCTTGACTACCAAAGACAACCTACGAAGTTGATTTTTTTTGGTTAAAGGGTGACCTATCATCATCATCTTTTTTGTTTTGCCTCGCTTTTGCCAACATGATTGAAGGAGGATAAAAGAGAACCCAGAGGAGGGACCCCAGGTCGTCCACGGTGGTACGTTTCTCCGCTCAGCATCTGCGCTCCTCTTAATGACCATATCTCCTTATAGGCACACGTATGCGCCTTATTCACACTGGAGGGGGGGGGGGGGGGGGGGGGGGGGGGGAAGAAAGTGTGTACTTTACAGGCTAATTAGTCGACTCAGCCCCCCCCCCCCCCCCCCCACCCCAACACACACACACACACACACCTTGATGTTGTTTTGCTTAACACTTAAAACTCGCATAGGAAGCGATAAGGCCAATTATCTTGATGTGCGCATAATGACTTTCTGATTCTGCGCATGTCCCGTCCTTTGATCCCCAGGCACCCTGGGGTGATAATTACTGATGTTTACAACACCCCCCCCCCCCCCCCTAACATTACAGTGGTCTGACTGTAGTAGTAGCGCTCGCGCCGGTTTAAAGCGCCACCGGTGATCGCGCATTAAAAAATCGCTGAGTCGGCTGAGGCCACGTGCGTTAGTTGGGGAGCTTCGGCAAACTTCGGCAAACTTCGGCCGGACTTCGTGCGAAGTCGACGCGCGCAGGCCAGGCGACGTTGCGCTCCAATAATATGAAATGTAAAGATATGTTGTATATATGGTGGCTTACACAGCGACGTCAATTATGGTTGAAAATGGACGTTTTCCATTTTCTACTGCTACTAATTATCGCAGCGTCGACGATGTGTGCTTTGCGTTGTTGTTGTTGTGTGTGTGTGTGTGTGTGTGTGTGCACGTCTAGGATGTGTAACGTAATATAGGCAATGTGCGCGCCACTATTTCTGACCGCTGTTTCGTCATGTCACGTGACACCGGCGGGAAAGCGGCGCCATGCGGCGGCAGGTGCGCGTCTCCACGGCCCTGCAGCCTGACTTAAAGGGCAAAATAAGTTGTCTTTTTTTTTATTTTTATTTTTTATTTTTGTATTTGTCTGCAGGCCTACATCTATAGGCCTACAGCAATATATTGATTAAAATATCCAATATTCAGTATTATGCAGGCAGTGAGCCCCCCCCCCCCCCCCCCCCCCCCCCCCCCC